CATGCACAAATTATTGTTATTCTGGGGTCTTGTTTATTTTTTAAGATTTATTTAACTATGAATACAAGAACTTGGGTATAGGCCAGAGGTGTGGGGGTTGAGAGGATTCACCAGAGTGGGGAACAGAACAGGAGGATCTACTGAAATAAACTGCTGAGGGGAGCAGCAGGCAAGACAGAAGAGGCCTGCAGTGCCATGTTGGTTACCTCCCTGGCTAGGGATTGAACTCGTGTTGCAGTGGCTGCAGATAGCTTCACAGTGCTGCACTTTTAACTCTTGTGCTACCTGGGAGGTCTGGGTCTTTGAGTTTTGATGGATTCTATTATGTGTACAAGTTAAATCAGTTAAGGAACAATACTTTTCCTATTGCCATTCTATACGTTTCCTATTCCCATTCAAATCCGGAGATAGTGTTTCAATACCTTAAATCCTACCTAATTCCATCCATGTTACATAAGATATTGATAGATATGTATTATGTAAACCTGTTTCTCATTGCATAAGCATACTCTGAAGACAGGAGCTATATCCCAGTTCCTAAAGGGCAACTTGGCTCAGAGGAGGTCTCTTTAAATATTTTCTTATAGGAACAAAATTCATCAATATTTATTGATCACTGATCTCACTGCATAGATCTTCTAGTATAGGAATTTTTTTCTAGTTTTCAAGGACACATAAAATATTAAAAATATTAATATCACCATAAAAATTCCCAAAAGTTAAAAAACTGAAATGTTCATTCTAGAAAAAACCACTGTTCTTGATTTATAATGACCATGCAAGGAGTTAAGATGCAGCACTATGAAGCTCTTCGCAGCCACTGCAGCACAAGTGGGATCCCTGGCCAAAGAGATGACCAACATGGCACAGTAGACCTCTCCTGTCTCTCCTGCTACTCCCCCCAGCAGAACCACTCTGCCGAATGGCTTGCTCCCCACTCTGCCGCTGCTGAATCCTCTCACCCTCCTTCCCTGCATCTCTGTTCTAAACCCCAGGCTTTGTATGTATAAATAAATAAATCATTTTTTAAAGATTTATTTATTTATTCATACAGAACTGGGGTACAGGCGAGAGATGCGGAGAGTGAGAGGATTCACCAGGAACAGAGTGGGGGGCAGAACAGGCAGATCGACAAGGTACACTGCTGAGGGGAGCAGCGGGGAGGGGGTCGTCAGGAGAGGTCTGCCACACCATGTGGCTCTCCTCCGGGGCAGGCGGGGATCGAACTCATGCGGAAGTGGCTTAAGATTCTTAGTGCAGTGCTCCAACCCGCTGCACCACCAGGGAGGGCCCATAAATAAATCATTTTTTTAAAAGAAATAATAACTGCACACTGAATGACATAACTGAAATGTCTTAAATGTGATGAGGAAGATTTTCAAATCTGTCCTTAGAGGAAGGTCTGATTGGCATAACCAGTTTACAAAAAAAGGGGACAAGGAAGCTGCTTCTTGGATATCAAGTAAGCAGTAATTGACAAGGACAATTTTCAGACACAAAACAAAACAAGAACAAAGGCAAATACAAGGAAGTCTGAGTCACACGCAAGGAAGCTCAGGGCAATGCTAGGGATACTTACTGATTTCTCATGGGGTTTCTTCTGCATCAAGTTGCTCTCTATCCTAACCCAGTAGTGAACACATGGTTTCATGGCTTCTCCATATTCCAGTCTTGCAAGTGAACTCAGATCCTCACTGGAACACACAAGCGACACCTTTCTCTTTCAGAAAGGTCTCACATGGAAAAGTTGACATTATCTCCAAATCAGTTAAACCTTGAGTCCTTCTATGTATCTTTAAAATGTTAATTTGCTCATATAAGCTGTTTTAAAATTGCCATAATTTTCCTATGATGTCTTGTGATTTCTCCACTTTTTGTTCTTATTTTAAGCTTTTTTAAATTGAAATAAAATTGACACATAACAGTGTACTAACATCATAATGATTCAATATTTGTATAGATTGCAAATAAGATCCACAATAAATCTAGTTAACTTCAGTTACATCATATAGTTACAAAAACTTTTCCATGTGATGAAAAATTTTAAGATTCACTTACAGCAACTTTCAAATATGCAATACAGTATTATTATTTGTAGCTATTAACTTTAGCCACCATGTGTACATTTTACCATAATTTGAATGTTTTATAATTGGAAGTATATAACTTTTGACCCTTTTCAGCCATTTTACACTTTTGAGATGTCTTCACTATTGAAAAATGCCAAAGCTTCAAAAAAAAAAAAAAAAGGGAAGAATTTTAGGATTCCCTTCACCTTTGAGAGATCCTAACCAAATACTCTGTGCTACCCACAGGCTCTACCCTCAATTTTCTGAATACACTTTGGACTTTCACAACTTGATCTCATTCCTCTCCTTATTCTTCAAGATCTGGCTGCAAAACCATAAATTATAGATTCCCCAGATGCTACACAAAATATCACATTATTCACAGCTACTTTATCACCCAAACCATAGCAGTATAAACACAACATATTTGTTGAATAAGTGAGAGTCTTTCTAAGGCTGTAGGAGATTTGTCCAATCATGATCCTTTTGCCTGAAAACAATCTATTCCCTAATATTACCAGGAAATGAGA